AAGACGATTAATTACATGTATTAAATGTATGATATGAATGTAGCACAGCATTTACTCTCAGCTAACCTGCCCCTGTCCTTGAATCTTTAAAATACAACTGAAGAACCAAAGAAGAGGGAAAAAAACCCCACAAAAACACAAGAAACACATACTGGAACACTTGTTTTCTGGCTGGCATCACTTTACTGTGGCCTAAAAGAGTCTAAAGGTGTTTGTGCAGAGCATTTTAAACTGCATTAATACATTCATGATGAGAAAAATCCCTGAAATCTACACCATATCCTTCCACGTGACCTGATGTGCACCTCCCATGAAATATAATTACACTTGAATGGCGTGGAAGGTTGGAGCATAGGGTTAAAAGGATTTTCTGGTGACATCGTAAGTTAGGACATAGATTTCCTGCAGAAGCCTAAATCAAACTTCAAGCACAGGACAGAAAGTGATTAAAACAACTGTGTGTGTGTGTGTGTGTGTGTGTGTGTGCGTGTGAGAGACTTCAACACAGCAGCAAGCAGGTGCACCGAGGACCCTCGCGCTCACTTTTTGCATATATGTGTATGATAGAATTTGGAAAACACATCGGTGCAAATTGAAAGGCTGTGTCATAATATCTTTTGTTTTTGTGTTTGTTGGTTTGTTTTTATTTAGTTTTTTTTTTGCGAGCTGGTTATCAGATGAATCCAGAAGCCAGAGAATTCCCCGCCCTTCTCTGTTGGTCTCCACCCTGTGGAGCAAGCAGTGGGCACACCTCGCAAATGGAGGGCGCGCTTACTCCCCGCAAATGGGCAATAGAAAACCGATGCCTGTGCAATCCCCAAAATGCTCTATAACTCTTGTAATGGCTACAGATCCTAAAGTGTGAAACTAAGTTGTTTACTTAAATGTATTCATCTGAAAAATGCTGACAGGATGTGTTCAGATTTGCCTCACTTTTGCCTCACCGAGCCAAAAGGAACTGAAGGACTGAAAGGTTCCGCGGAGGTTAAAAGGAATGCCAGAGCAAACTATGATAACAAAATAAGGATTTTCTGCGACAACGAGGATCTCAGGTAGGAAGTATTCACTTTTTTTTTATTAAGTCAGGAAAAAATCTAAATGACTATCATCAAGATCAAGAACAACAACTTTATTAACATAAATAAACAGTGGTTACGCCGAG